GTCGCCCAACTTGACTTCCTGTAAAATGTAGTAATTTTATTCTCCAGTATCAATGTGGTTCGCAGCGCCTGACGGATGATGACTAAAAATCGATTAGACTGTGCTACGAGTACTTAAATATGCAGCCAATGCCAAAAATCTTCTAACAAGACTGGCGGAACTGGCGCAAATGTTATAGTGGCAAAGGTTGCTTATAAACATAATCATAGCATATTTTACTTATAACCACTACTTATTTCGTTGTAGTAAGCATGTTTTGTTTTATTTTCTATAAGCGTGGATTGCGGTGCTTTTCATTCATGATGTTTCCACGGCTTTTCTTATGTACGTGACGGCAATCGCTGGGGCCTCTTGCCTTATGCAGATAGAGCGTTGGCCGGATTCAAACTTTGCCATTGCTGTCACGGGTTCGAATTCCGCCGAGGATGCTAAGGTTCTCAAAACGGACAAAATATTTGCGAAAAAGGAACCGGTAGCCCCAAGAGGACGTTGCCATTTAACTGCCACCTCGATAGTGGCACAACAGACTACCCGTTAATGGAATATGAATGGAATGTCTAGAGCTAATATCCCTGGCTTTACAAACTTGCAATTAGGGTGTGGATTATTAATGCAGTCCCCAATCGGTCTGTCTCATGATTTTTAATCAAATAAACCCATGGTTAAGGCTTCCTTTTAAACAACACTGTATTTTACTATTCGTAACTAACGACTTAGTTTGTTGCAGTTTAGTATCCAGTTTATTATAGTTATTAGTTTATTATTTAGTTATTTTGATTTTATTTAAGTTTTAGTTCAATTTTAGTTCAATTTTTAGTTTACGTTAAGTTTAGTTAGTTTAGTTTAGTTCAGTTTTAGTTATGGTTTGATTGTAGTTTTATTAGTTTATTATTCAATGTTGTTATATTTTCCTTCCCCTTGATATGTCCCACCCATATGACCCCTAGTACCACTGGTCCCGTCTTAAACAAACCTGGGCTTTTTTGTTACAGTGGTACTGTTTATAAAAAAATCTCTACCTACCCATGATTCGGCAGACTCTTTGGAAGCTTTTGGGCATGATAGGTACCCCTGTCTGAAGACTTTTTTGGACGTTCGTTTGAATATGCATTTTATCTGATAACCAAACGCTTCCAACTAAATTATAGGACAGATTCTAGGATGAGCTTTATAGTGCGACTTTATGGTAGGCCTTCGCTATACTTTTATTTATACACACCTTTGTCACAATTTTGTTTCTACGCAGCTGTCTGTACTGATTCTATTTGATTCGCACTTCCCCAACTTGCATTTATCTCTACTTGTTTAAGCTCACGCACTAACTGTAATGCGGAACTCTTAAATTGGCATGAGTTACGCTATCAATAACTGAGATTTGACCCACTGTCTTTGTTATTCACTGGTCAGCGTAGGCAGCTGATTTCGTTATACAGTAGTCACCGGTTATTAAGCCCACCTCGGGCCCAGACCAAAGTGGGCTTAATTACCGTGGGCTTAATAACCGGCGACTGCTGTATCGTGTAGCTATCTTGAATTTTCCTTAGCGTAGGATCGCCTTATCGTTCGCTTACACTAACTACATCTCTTACTCAACTATAGGCCTGTTTAATAGTTATAAATAGTCCTTTTGTTGTGATGCAGAGGAGGTAAATAAGTTTGGCAGTTCTAAGTACTACTTTGCGGTTCAGGCTAGAGGTTAAGTGTCCGTTCTTCATTGAATATTAGGCTAAAATATTTCATGTAACCAACTACATAAATTCACAGAGGAATAATTTTATACAAACCGATCGCCGTTTTAAACAGCCTTTCCGAAAACAACTATTGACTCTCTATATACAGCAAAAACCACAGTGGACTAAACATAAGCTGTTTTAAGCAAGCTATTTGGCACGAGTCCAACAGGCCTGGTTTAATGAGTGACTACTGAGGAGCTGTTGCAAGCGTTATTCCCCTTATAGCCATTGGCACAATCTACTTCTGATACCAGCTAATAAAACGCGAATGCCTGCTCTAGTGTTGGAGGTTTTGCTTAATGCACAGCTACGAAACAGGTCAAATTTCGAACTACGGTTCCTGTGGATTTTGGTTGGATTTGGTTGTCTGGTGATAAATAAATAAACCAAAAAAGCCCTTGTAGTCTTCCCTGTTTCTTCACGTAAGACATTTCGACAGTATTTTCCAGTTAAAAACCTAGAGTACTTCTAAAATTTTCAAGCTTTTCGTTGAATACAAATTTCAGCGATGATACCCATTTAAGCATTCAAGAAGTTGTAGAAGTAGAGTTAGTAAAAGTTTAAGCAACCACTCAATGGTATTCAAGGGGGGGAGGAGGAGGAGGAGGGGAACTATTACGATTGGTTGCTTAAACTTTTACTAACTCTACCCCTTTATATTATTGTACACGGCCTGAGATGAATTAAATCGAAAACGTTCTGTTCGCCTATCTTGACTTCTTGAAAACAAATTTACTGATGATGAGCCTCCTGAACTTTCGTTATCAGTAAGCCCTATCAAGGAATTAAAAAAAGCGCGTAAAAGACTATTAAAATCCTCAATTCTCCTTTATAATTTTAAATGCTAAATCCCACGATAAAAGATGAGAAACCGAAGTTGTCTGGATATGTTGAAGATGGAAGGTAACAGAAAAACTTAATCCGAACATTGCGATTTTCTTTTGTGAACCTACCCAACCGGTCGGGAAAAAAAGCGCCAGTGGGATATTGTTAGTTAATGCAAGAGCTACACTGCCCGCAGATCCGTATTTTAACACTGTCTGCAGCATAAATGTGTCATTCCCCTTGGAGGAAATTGAGTTCAGGACCGAGAGAACGAGCCTATGCGTCCTGTAGGCCCACGCGATTTCGGCATTGGTCTAGTTATATCCGGCCCCGCTTCGTCGTCTTGGTTGCGGAGTGAGCAAGCTAATGGTTTAGGGAGTCACACAAGCAGGACTAACTAGCATGTGCACGAAGGCGATAGCTCTGCTGGAGAGAGGTATCCTTCACTTTGTCCAGCCGAAATCCTGAAGGTATTCACAATGGCATGCTCTCTTGGCTAACAGTCCTCGAGCGTTCGCGACACAGCGGGGAACGGAAAATACACAAACTGCTGACGTCATTGCCTCTCTATGAAAACATATTTGGATAGCTGCAGTCGACTGAATCGACTTTCTCGTAACCACGAGTGCCATTTTAATTTTCTTCTGCTTGGCCTTCTAATAAAGCTATTTATCTTTCAGTAGGTTTTCCCAAACACAAGCATATTGCCGAACAAATCTTGTGGTCGGAGGAGCCAATGTGGTTTTGTACAACATAAAAACTCGTATTAAATTGAAAAGATTCCCAGGGCAATAAAAATGACAGGTACCCTAAGGGTCTCCAACAGATGCCCAACTAATATGACATAAGTAAACGATAGCGGATTTAAAAAAGACGAATTTATACACCTTAGAGTTAGCGGAAACAGGAGATAAACACAGGATGCCTATTATTTGTTTATAAAATAATCAATAATTAATTATAATCAATACTCATGAACATTCCTGTATAGGTCCCTCGTGGGGTAACGAATTCGGATACCCTAATTCTCGAGAATTATAGCCTGATTTGAACTCATAAGTAATTAAAAGGCCGACTATTTCTTCTATCCCAGAATGCAAAAATGACAGCCTCATTTATTTTGTTCATCGTAGCACTAGCACTAGCTAACCGAACATGTGGGATTTAAAAGGCTAACAAAATGGCAATATAGCTATTGGATTTCCTGAATATTATCAGCAGTAAAGACGACGTTTTGACTTCTAACAACAACCTAAACATTCCTTTCCTACAGTCTGTATTTTCCTAATTTTATGAAATATGAGCTTAAAAAACCGACATGCATAATTAATAACAGATACAAAGAAAGCATTACCTACTTTGAATGGAGGAGAAAGCGTAAAACCTACACACTTTAACCAGCAGACCAAAAGCGGACCAAATTAATTACCGGGAACATCTTGCGAGGGGATTTTGTGGCAATATTTTGAACTGACTCTCCGCGCCCTGCGCTAATTCCCACCTTTCCTGCACAACAGCAACGCCAACTATATCCCTCCTCTGCAGGGGTAGTGACTCGGTGTAGGAACTGCAAGTCCCCCCTGCCCTGCCCTGCTGCTTAACCTCGCGACCCATTGGCTTTTGTGGTGGGTGTGGAGGAGGGCTTCGCAACAAACAACCAACGGTGACGGCCTATTTTTAACTTCCTCGTTAACTCCTCCCCCCTCTTTCGCATACTCATACTCGTGTACGAGGGGGGGGGAAACAAAACTCCCTTTTAAAAAGTAAACATGGGAATACGCTCACGCTTCTCTCTACGTCAGAGAGAGAGAGAGAGAGACCGACAAAAACAAAATCCTCCAGCTTTGTAGAAAAGCAAACTCCGCACACACACACACA